TCAGGTGGAGATTCACAAACATTCTGACAATTGCACTTTGAAAGTAGCTTAAGAAGTAGCCACTACTTTTTCTGGAAAAGTAGCTAAATTGTAGCTGCTACAAATTTTGGGAAAGTAGCTATCCCAACCTTGACTAATACTGACATGACAACTCACATCTCTTGCTGCGTTAGGGTCAGGGCTCCATCAACAACCTTTGTCATGCTTTGGTAGACTCTACAGTTGAGCCTGATGAAGAAGCTGAATCCTCAGAGCAGAATGACGTTTCAGAAAAGGATTCTGTCATCTGAGGACACACAAAACTGTACTTTAAAACATTAACAGAGGTAAAGGAAAAATTACAAACATAAGACATGAAACAATAAAAGCAGAGTTTATTACAGTTACAAGTTAATTGCACATTCATTACCTTCTCAGAAAAGTGTATCACAACGTGAAGCAAAGATGTGAATCAATAATAAAAAAAATGGAATAAGGGTTTTTTGTTAGTTACTTTTCATGTAGCTTAATAATGAAATTTCTAAACGGAAGATCTCCAGAGGATTCTCATGTTGGCTGCTCAAAGTTGGCCCTTGGAGGCTTCCATCTTTTAATCTGTAACACAGATACTATGGATTGTTACATAAGACTAATAATCAGGGGAATAACTGCAGTCCCTGCTATATGCCATCACATCAGTTAAGTCATTATACGATTATTCTGCAACAGTTAAAAAAAAAAAAGATTGTATTGTGACATCTTGGAATTTTTTGCTTTTGCTGCAAATTATTGCTACAATAGAAAATGAAGTTTTATTTAATGAAGTTTACACTTCATTCACTTTACTTCAGACATTTTTTAAAACCAAAAATACAGTATAATAAAATTTATACTTATATATTCAGCAACATTTAAAAAAGAGCAATTAACAAAGGCTGAAGAGTGCAATGAGTTTCTGCTGTCTGATTAGACAGAAAGTGCACTTAAATGTTAAAACAACACCAACACTAGTGATTTAACCCCAACACTGATATTTTAACACTCCTGATTTCGCTGCATAGCACTGTTTCAGCTGCTGTGAAGCGTCTCTGTGTTTTGGACTCCTGCTGATGGAGTGAATCGATGAACCATTATTAACCAGCTAAACACATCTACAGTACAATTTTAATTCCAAGTCAGTTGGGTGTTATCTTGCTACCCCTGTTATGATGCTCAAGGTGGCCTCTTGGCTCTTTTCCGCTCCACGTTAAATGGTACAGTAGTTACCTTAACTTGTGTGCAGATGCCAGGGTGTAACTACTGTGCCAATTAAGGTGGAGTGAAAAATGTGAATAAGAAGCTGGCAATAAAGGTCGTTCCACAACGTTCAGCGAAAATACTGTTAATTTCTGTTGTTTGTTTTCGTTCCTTGTACCATTTCTAGTGATGGTTTATTGCAACCCTAATCTGTAACCCTTTAGTGCTTGGATTACCTACACACACAAACTCTTCATGATTTTTCTCATTGAAAAAGTGCACACAGAGGAAGTAAATCAATACACTGACCACTGGACACTTCCACCATCCAGGATGGAATAAAAACACATGCATTAAAGAGTTGTCACTACACAGAAAAGTAATTCAAAGTATTCTGTTAAAATCAACTTGGAATATAAAAAAGTTGTCGTGTGGAAGACCGTCATGTTCACCTCATCATGCAGTGTGTGTGCAAAAAAAAAAGTACAGACTTCAACAGGAAGACATGAAATCATTAAAAAGGAAACATTCTATACCTAAAGACTTCACTTTCCAAAACAGTTGGAAAACAAACATTTATATGGTTGTAGTAAAGTCATTGTGGCCATAAGACAATGCCATATAAATAAAGAGGTTAGAATATGAAGTAGGTATTAGGGTGCAGAGCGGTGTAGGAGCAGACATATCAAAATGTTTCTGCAACAGTGGTTTGTGCCTGCAGTGGCTGATGATACACCTGCTTATAACATGAACTGAGGCCAAATTATAGCCAGCACAGCAAACTCAAGTTTTTACCCTGTTCTTATCTGCTTGTTAGCTAAAGCTGACTTTAGCTATTTTAGCTATTTTAACAGACAGTGAGAGTGTGAACAAGCCAAAGAGCTAAACATTTTTGGCAGCTTTTTATATTCCTTGTCTTCTTATCTCTCTTCAGTATTCAGAAACAATCAAATAAGCAGCACTCACTGCCTGTTGTTCAGTACACAAATGTCAGGGTAAAAAGCCACACAGTGTTTATCATAAGGCAGTTTTGTGTTCCCCAGTTCCTCAACCTGGAGATGCATACGCACGGTTTCTTTATGAGAGGCGGCAACTCCACTCAAGGTCAGACAGGGGAGAAGGTTTTTCCATTTGAAAGAAAAATGTGAACTGACTGGTCTAAGCCTCAAGCCCCCAGTCCCTTCTGGACCTCAGGACCTTTGGTGGATTTGTGTCTAATTTTAATGATGAATAGCCATATTTTGATGTTTGCTACTCTAAACATTTAGGACAAACAGACTGGGGGAATTTGGGGGACTTTTTTTATTTGACTTAGGTGGGCACGCCCCCAGACCCCTCCAGTAAAGGATCCATAAATTGGGGGATTTAAGTAAAATGAGTCGCCAAATATACTTTAGCAATGTCTGAAACGTAGTTCGATCTGTCCTCCTGTGACCAAGTGCATGTGATGTGATAAGTGGCATAACTGTACTGTCCTAGAGCGAACTCACCTCTTTCCTCACATCTTAACAGCGTTAAATCATGTCTGCTCCTCACAACTAAAGCGCTGTTACAGCATTCAGACAGTTTTATTTTAGTATTAGTGCATTCCCGGGCAACAAAAGGGGAAAGAATAAGTGGGTTCATGCAAGTTACAGCCCTGATTTAAACGAAAGTAAACTGAGGATGTTGTATGTTTGGAATTGGAAGTGGAAGAACGCTAGCTTCCCAGACTAGCTGTTTTAGCAGCTGGCTAACTTGAAGCAGCGCTCCGTCACTCACACAGCACGGCGAATTGATGTTACTGTAGACCAAACAAGACAAAAAAAAAGCACTGATTTCAGTTTAAACATACCTAAAAGGAGGACTCTGTTTGTCTGGTGCGAGATTCACACTGCAGTTAATGCTTTTAAACAGCGAGCGTCAGATATATTGTGGTTAACCCCTCATACTCTCCAACTTCTATAACAGAATAGAGAAATCCAGACGTCTGCTAGCTGGTGTCTGAATACTGATGTGCTCTGACATGGATGTGGTAGGAGTGATGGCAGTAAGGCGGTGTGATCCATCATTCACGTACCGAGCCAGCTAATGTTTGCTGTTCGTACTAAGCTGACGTTGTTGAGAAACTAAACAGTTTAGCACTTGTAACCAGATAGCTGAGCACTCATCACCAGACAGCTAAAATAATCTGTTTTCTTTCTTAAATTATAAATATTACAAAAATTGTGGCCGTGCTTTTCCAGCTGGTAGAAACAACGGCTCACCAGAAACTTTCTCCCACTGTCCCATGACAGATTTATGAGATGTTCCACTGTTTGGCAAGTGTTTGTCATGTTCTGACCATAATGGATAGTTTAAAACAGCAACTGACCACTCAGGAGCAAAAATCAACCTTCAAACTTGCAAGAAATAATTATTTGACATTAATCACGACATGTATCAATATCGACCGATATGAAACTTTTTTCCCAGCTCTACCCCTCAGGCCCACACACTCCACTCTCCAATTAACATTTCGAAAATAACCTCCCAAATATAAACATTGTCGACAATTTTTTTACTGACGTTTATTAAAGTAACGTAACTGGTACTATGATGCACTGATTTTGCTAATTTTAATGTTAGATTAAATGGATCATTGTTTCATGATATATTAACACTAATAATAATAATATTAATTATAATAATAACAATAATAACAACAGTTGGCCATGTGCATCAATAGAGAATAACATCACATTGCGAATGTTCTTTTTAAGTGTAAAATCTATCTAACAGTGCTAGCTAGTTTAATCTGTCTTTCTCTCTTCTCACTCTGTCTTTCTTAAGCCTTGGATTCACAACATAACGAACAGATTATAACAGACTGGGTGTCTCGCTCTGTCAAACTGTTTTTTGCGGATTTTTTGGGGCGACTGAAACTTTGGGGATCACAAACTACCCAATTTTTAAGCTGTTGCTGAAGGGAACTGAACTCACCAAACTTGCGTGTTCTCCCATTAATAGGAGACACAGCTTTTCGCACTGACACAGTAAAGAAGCAGCGTTTTTTTAGAGTTTTAGATGTACATAAACTCGACTGTACCTTAAACTTATTTCATTAAAAAGCTTCCCTACACACGTGAGTGTCTTTTCAAAAAATTCTTAAGTAGTGGCAGCAATAATTGAAAAATATATAGAGGAAACAATGTAGCAGCATCATTTTAGAATCATTTTATACATTTATTTGCACCATTTTTAAAAAAGTTTTTTAATTACACAGTATAAAATTTTACACAGTGAGGAGAATAAAAACAGGCTAAAATATGGTGAGCATGAGCTGCTCTGAGTCGCCCCGTAAAGTCTGAAATAATCATTTATCTGTAAAACTCAGAGGCGTCAAAATTTTCACACCACATCATACATCTTTACATATTAACGTCATATTCAGACCCAAAATAAGGTCCGGCTAGATGTTTAGGTCTCAAATGATCTTAAAAAGGGCGGCACGGTGGCGCAGTCGGTAGCGCTGTTGCCTCACAGTGAGAATGGCCTGGGTTCGATTCCCGGCTGGGCAACCAGGGTCCTTTCTGTGTGGAGTTTGCCTGTTCTCCCCGTGTCTGCGTGGGTTTCCTCCGGGTACTCCGGTTTCCCCCCACAGTCCAAAAACATGCAGTTAAGCTAAGTGGACATGCTAAATTGCACCTAGGTGCCCAAAACTACCTAATGATACTGTAAATTTTTAATAATAAATAAAATATTTTGCTATGTTTAAACAATATACTTAACAGTACTGGACATGTGCACCACATTGAGGCTTACAGTCAGGGTTCCCTTTTTTCAGGTAGACACAGAAGTGGTTCTGTTATGGCACTGTCTGAGAGAACCTTTTTGGCAGCTTTATATTTCAGAGTAAGTGAAAGTTGAGGTTCAGGTAAGAGGAAAAACACACTCACCATGATCTGTATCTCGCGGCGACACACCTGCAGATCATGCTCATTATTAACATACATCCGCTTCAGCGCACAGCGAACACCCTGATGAGTCCGGACCAGGAACACGATCGCAAAACCACCTGCAGGACACAAACAAACATCAGAGATTCAAATATACAGATAAAAATCCAGCATAACTAAACGGTCAGGGTGTAAACAGAGTTATTCAGAGTGGTTTGGTGTAAAACGCTCTGTTCTAGAGAAACTGAGTCAGAATTGTTCACAGTGTTGGTGATAGAAACCAGACGTCCACCTCTAAAAGCTCCCTCACAGAGAGTTATTACATGAAATGGTTATGAATTCACTACCTGATGTCTGAGACACTGTTTTATGATAGTTTTGAGAATTTGCATTCATGGAGGAGGGATACATGCAGACTGTTGCAAAGTTTTTTCCCCAAAGAAAACTTATTATTTCAGATTTTCCACTATTTTTCCAACATCAACATTCCATATAAAACCCAGAAGACACGTGTAGGTTCACTGGTGGGTTTTGGATTGTAAATAAAATGTCTATATTTGTGTTTTAGTCACATCACTCTGAATGACTCTCTTTACATTTCTAACACTCAATCATACCGGATTTTTTAAGAACATATCCTTTATGATACAGTGGGCCTCATTCGCCAGTGTTTTGTTAAACTTTCTTGAGAAAGGTTCTAAGAAAAAGTCTACATCAGATTCATGACGTGTTCTTAAAGCGCAGAACTGTTCTCACCTTTGTGCTCTTGAGTGTGTGTAGATTCTGTTCTTACCTAAGAACAAATCCCAAATAAGAAAACACTGATGAAAAAGAAATTTCTTATTAAAATGGTTGGTGAATAAGGACCAATGTTCTTTAAAAAACCTATTTACAATGGGTCCTTTCCCAAAGCTGCCCTCTGGTGGACATCCACTGAAGCGCAGGTAAAAGATGAGTGTCTGCACAGTGATTAATGTAAACGTGATTAATGACAGACACTTAGTGAAGTTAGAGACAGTTTAACTCACAGAGCCATCATCATCATCCCCTGCAGTAATCTGCCTCAGAAGAAAAGGCCTTTATTTTAATTCTACACTGAATATCTCTGCAGAATCTGTTGATCTTAAGTGACCTCTCACTTCTCAGGAGATAAAACACAGGACCGTTTTTGAAATTATATTTTACATATTTATTTTCAATTACTGAATTCAGTATTGTTTCATTTTGCATTCAGTATTTAGTTCATAGTATTGTATTTCAGCACTTTGTTATGCTAAAATATATTCCTTTATTATTACTGTTATCACTGTTATCAGTTTTATATTTTTATTTCCTTCCTTTTTTAATGCTTCTGCTTCTTTTATTATTTTCTGATGTTCATATACAGTTGTTATTTATTTGCTTTTTTGACTGTATGCACGCCGGGCAGACCTTTTACACAGCAAATAAACTGCATATACAGCAAACAGACCATACGCATGCTGAACAGACCGCACACGCCAAATAGAATGCATACATGCCAAAAAGACTGCATTCAGACCTATTAGACTGTATACATGCCAAATAAACTGAACAGGCAGCATACACGCTGAACAGGCTGAATATCTATGCTGCATAGATCGCATACAAGCAAAATAGACAACATAAAGCCTGATTAGATCACATGCTTGTCAAGTAGACAGTATACATGCAGAACAGACTGCATTCATGCCAAGTAACCTAAACTAAATTGCAGCAGGAGGTCTCGTGTTCTGTAAAGCTGCAGTCAAACTGCTATTAAAAGTTAAGAAACAGTAACGCAGGTGGAACCTGGGAACCTGTTCAACCAGAGTATACCAGATGGTGAGATAAAATCTGTGTCATACACACACGTGCACACACACGCACACACAAACACACGCACACACACAGAAACAATGGCATTCTCTTTGATTGTGTGTAGATCTGATCACGCACAGGCATGTTTTGTCACAGAACAAAAATGAAATTACAAAACAGAAAGACTACACTCTTAAGAAAAGAGGGTACTCCCAGCGTTCTTTAATAAACACTACAGCTCTTCAAGGGTTTTCGTCATGGTGAAACCGCTCAACTGATTGATGGAGAATATGATATATGAAAATGATTCTGTATAGCACTAAAACACGGTTGTGCTATTGTAAATAAGCCTGAGATAATCACAATAGAAGAACACTTTTCAATAAGGTTCTATCTAGAATCATTCACAACACATTCTCCACCAATCTGAAGAACAATTTCACCATGCGGGGATACCTTTAAGCATTAATGGCTCAATGAGTGTTCATGGGTCTATATAGAACCATTGTCTCTACTAAAGAAGAACAATTTTTTAGAAAATGTTTAGAAGAAGCACCAAAGATATAACTTATCTGCTTTTTTATATACACTTTATGTACCACATACAGCCTGAACAGCCTATCTATACAGCTAAAAAAAAAACAAACGCAGAAAAGACTGTATATACGGCAAATAAACTGCATATGTGCAGAATACACTGTGTTCACACCAAATAGACACACATATACAAGCCTAATACATGCATGTGTCGTGCTGATTGTCTTGTTAGTTGACATTTAAACTGAGGATTTTTAAAAAGAGACTCGCTTATTATTCATTTATTTATCTACATTATTTGAATTTAATACAGCTTTAACATTTTGGCCTACATGAAACTGATAATAATGCAAACTGCTTTCTGTTATGTTAACAAAAACGTGAAATGAATACACAGTGAATAATGGAGCACATACACTGAAAAGAAACTGTCTCAGTATCACAGCTCACATTCATTCACAATTGTTAGAAATACAATTAATGCAATCCCTCAAAGCAAGCTATTTAAGCAGAGGAGCAGATGAGGAGGGATTTCAGAGAGAGGATTTAGGCTGCCGAAATAAAGCTGCTCTGACCACACCGAGCCGTCACATGACACTTTATGATTCATCCTATGTGTCACAAAAACCCACACAATTACATTTGCGACTACTCAGCCCACAGCAGTTTAGCCCTGCCCACTCACAATGAAGTTATAAGGAGTGTTTCAGCAATACAGGGCAGTCAATCAGAACAGAGCTCATTTACATACATCAGTCTTAAAGGTACAGCAACAAAAACATCCTGTTGAATTCTAAGGGACAAAAAGAGTCATGTAAAAATCAATGATGACTGTTTTTGGTCCGTAAAACTACACAAACATTATAAGTTGGTCTCAGTGAAAAAAATAAAAAAAATAATAACTTGTTAAAGGAGCCCTAATCATAGTACAAACTGTATGCAAACTGCAGGCAGAATCATCACACCTGCCTAACAGAACTAATGACCTGAATTCTGTCACTGTATAACACACTGTGATCTATATACATGGACTGAAGCACGGATACAATCCAGCCTTCAGGATGGGCACTGCTGCTTTTAGCTTTGTTACGTACTTCTGTCTGTCTATTTAAGATAACAGTGTGTCTGCCGTTCTGCAGAGCTTAGTTTGAACAGACCTTCTCCACTTTATCCTAATGATCTATCCCAGAGACCTGGACCTGTATTTATCAGATTTATCAGGGTAAAAATGCTGATCTAGCATTTTAGCACTAAATAGAGTTACATGAACTGATGAGAGCTGATCTGATATCTGAGATCTAAGATCTGATGTCGATAAATATGGGCCTCAGTGTGTTTTTTTTATGAAGGAAGATTGCAGATGTCCTTATTTATAAATATATATTGATAGATATATACTGCTGCCATAACAAAATAAAATATCTGTCTATCTAGCTATATATATATATATATATATAGCTTTATATGTTTCATTATAAAATTTGTCCAATTAGTCAAATATTAAATTTAAATCATTTTGTTCACAGTTTTTTATGTAGCAATACTGGTCCTGTTCTAACTGATCAGATGTCTCAGAAAATAAATATTGTGACATATCATGCACTGTGAAAGCGTCTTCTCTTTGTAATTCTTCTTTTACTCCTTATTATTATTATTATTATTACTATTATTATTATTATTATTATTATTAAGAACAATTAATAATATTGTTCCATTTTTCTTAACATTATTCCAGGATTCCTATTGGAATCCTCAACTTCAGGCTTTAATGAGAATTAGGGGTGGGTAATATGGCAAAAATACATCACAATACTTGAAGAAAAGTGTTTTGTGGCATTATTTATCACAATACAACCAAATATTGCCCCTCCCCCCATACTCCTACTGAGAACTCCTGCTTTGTGAAACATCCTCCTCACACATGGAGAAGAGCTCTGCAGGCAGGAGGCCACAGTGACCCCCTGAGATGGACACATGCTGACCCCGATGTCCTACATACCTTCTGCCAGCGTTTCCTCCACGGTCACCTGGTGCCGTCCCACTGTGAAATTGCGGCCGATGAAGTTCCCTCCTGCGCCACTGGACCCTCCAGATCCACCAGCCCCTCCGGAACCCGGGCCGGAACTGACCAGCTCCCTCCGAGAGTCAAAGAACTTCTTCATTGTGCAAAATGTTGTGTTATCAGGAAACAAGTAAAAATACAACCCTGTTTCTGTGCCCTGCCAGTGATGCTGTTATGAGTTGTGAATGTAAACAGATGATCTAAAGCCTCTGAGCTGAATCAGCAGGAGCTACTGCTGCATCACCAGCGGCCTGTGTTTGTACTGGAGTCCAGCAAACAACTCAAAACATAAGAGAGGCAAAAATGTGACTGCCACTGTAACGTTATTTCTGACCACTGCCATCCAACATCTGTCCCCAGCCAGCTGTTCGGAGCTAGGAGAGGCAACACTACCGTTTGTTTGGGACCTTAAGCATGTCTCTGAGTTCTTTGTAGCTCTGTTAAACCGTTAGACACGATTTTAGCTGCTTATTCGAGATTATCGTCGCTGCGGAACCACCTGCAGCGAGTGGTGAAATCACAGACAGCTCGTTAGCGCTCTCAGAGGCTAACAGCAGCTGGCTTTCACAGCAAACCGGATCCCGCTTCACATCAGACACTTCTAACGTCCATTTAACGTCCAATCTGCTGATAACATTTGTCAATGCAGTTTCAATGCAGAACAAATCAGTGAGGTGTGAGGGAGAGTTTGTGCCCTGATTTTTCTTTCTGAATCTTCTTGTTGGGCTGATGTGTTGCGGAATGGAGAGTGAAGCCGGAGTCCAGCGGGGCGCTGGAGCATCGCCGATCTACAACTCATGCTCATGCGCTTTTCTGCGCAGCGGAGCGCTTGCAGATCGGCGAAAGTGAGCCGCTGTGTGTAATACGTATTAATGCACTCCAGATGTTCAGCGCAGCTTTACAGTGGGGTGGGTTCAGATATTACAGGGCAAACCGGTCCTCAGGAACCCTCCATTTCTCCCAGCCCCAAAACGTCTGAACCAAGCTTTGGAGACACTGAATACCTGGTACACCTGCTGGGAGCTTGGCTGCAGCAAAGACGTGGACTGGCTTTGATAATGGGCATCAGTTATAGGGAACATCTAAAGCAATTATACTTATTTTATGTTCAGCTGATGCTAAAGTCGCGTATTTTGTCCTAAATGTGCAGAAATGCATATTATAACTAGTCTTAAGTTACATTCGTACAATTTACTGAGAAGTAAAAAATAAAACTAGAGAATAAGTAGAAAAACAAGCACTTTATGCTCAACACTGGTCCTAGAGATCCACCTCCCTGGAGAGTTCAGATCCAACGCAACTGGCTCTAATGTTCATACGCAACTAAAGACCTCCATTACCTGGATCAGGTGTGTTGGATCAGGGTGGTAGCTCTCTAGGAGTAGGACTGAGCACCCCTCACTGATCTATGACATTCGTGACCTTACAGTATTAAAAATAAATCACTCTAAACACATTTCAAATTTCAACAGTGTGCATATAAATGATAGTAGTAGATAGATAGTAAATTGTAAAACAAAATAACTACATTAAAAAACTCAAATGTTAATCCAAAACATGTGAAAGCTCTATGATCTATGATATTTAGTTTCATTCTATCTATTTTCTTTCCCACCCGTATTCATACACCCTCCGCCTACTCATTGGGCGAACCAATCAGAGCACAGGCAGCAGGATAGTTGGCGCCAATCACAGTGCAGGAAGGCGGGACTTGTCTGAGCACGGGGGGGGAAAAAGTCTGTCAGATTCAACGAGGAAATGAAATAGGATTCAACGGAGCAGAGCCGCCACCCACAAATAATTAAATCCAGCCATCGGTCAGAACTTCGCTCCATTTCTGCTCTCTGTCGGGTGGGGTTGCCTGAACATACAAACTTTCCTAAGGTAAGACACAGCAGAGCTCGACAGCTCAACATTTCGTCATTCTTCTAATGTAAGAACACCTTTCTTCCTCGTTTCGTCTTTGTTTATGTGGAATGACACAGAATAGAGATGTTTATGGGGCAAAAAGTTGGAGGAGTTTTGTAATCCTCTGCCAGAAAGTTGGTGTTTTTTCTGCATGACATCAACTGCAAACTTCACATAACTATGCTGAGAAGTCTGGTTTAGACACATTGAGCATAAACGTGAGCGAATAACAGACTTAACGCCTTAAAATGAAAATGTTGATAGTTTTCTGTAATTAATTTGTCATAGATGTCACTTCTTTTAGTGTCCTCTTAGATATGGTTCCATCAGTGAGATTGTTTTGGTTCCTTTTTAAGAGAGAGAGAAAGAGAAAGAGAGAGAGAGAGAAGACGGGGTATCATTGTATTCCCCACAGCTAAATATAACTTTATCACAAAAATAACGATATTATTAAAAAAAAATATCAGATATCAAGCGCTACCGTTGACTGTCCAGAACTCATCTATGCGAATTCAGCCTGAGTTTCTCCTCTAAATTTTGAGATTCAAAACACTTGTTGCTTGTGCACTAAAACAGTGAAATATCGCAATAGTATCATTAATAAAGTATGAAATACTTGTGTTTAAAGGGTTTCGCTGCTAAAAAGCGACCTAATTTAGTGGGTTTTACTAATAAAAACGCTCATAAACCGAAGTTAGAGGAGTTACAGAGCTTAGCTAATGTCAAGCTAACGGTTATGCTAAGCTAACTCCCCTTCGGTCACGTGAGCACATCTGTCAACCGTTTAATTAGTGAGACTGTTTATAGTAAAATTTAGACTTTGTGTTGTGCAGATGTGCCCACAAGTTCACCTTCAGGCTGCAGGAGAGTTCCCTCACAAAACAGACAGTGCTGTGTGATAATAATATAATAATCTGTAATATTTTCTCCTCTGTATATCATTAGTGTACAACTAGTGATCCACACACTTAAAAAAAGATGGTTCTTCAAGGGTTCTTTAGTAAAGACAGTGGTTCTGTTTGGGACTGTGAGCTCTATATTAACCATTTCATGCTTCAATGGTTCTTTGCATGGTGAAATGGTTCTATATAGCACCAAAAACAGTGCTATTGTTACAAGCTTGACATTGTTACAATAACAAGAACCCTTTTTAGTGCTATGTAGAACCATTTTTTTAAAAAGTTAGAGCAGAACAGACGTCTGTGTTTGTTATTGACTCAGCTCTGCGCTTTAAGTTCAACAGAGCAAGATGACAAGCTAACAAGCAAAGAGGATTTGAAAGTTGACACATGGCACTTAAAGATAGTTTATCAGAAACACCCCTCTAGTAGGCCCACTGTAACAATAGCAGGACCCTTTGTGGTGTTTACATAGAACCTTTTTTAAAAAAAAATCTGAAGAACCATTTCACCATGCAGAGAACCCTTTCAGCATGCAAAGCGTTCTGTGTATGTGAGTGTTCATGGCTCTATATACACTCTTGAAAAAGATAGTTAAAGCAGTGGTTCTATATAGCACCAAACTTGTCAGTTGTCAGTGTTAAGCTTGTAACTATAGAAGAGCCCTTTTCACCATGCAAAGAACCATTTAAGCAGGTAAATGGTTCTTTAAGTGTATGTCGTTCAAAATAGGACCATTGTCTTTACTGAAGAACCCTTGAAGAACCATCTTTTTTTTAGGGCGTATTGAATATGATCTTGAATATTTGAATATTCATTAAAATTTCATTTACAAAATTCAGTTCTTATTGTCATTAAATGTCATTATTACAGTTATGATTACTGTAATATTTGCTTTTAATGTTTTCTTTGATCTTGATTTAATTTTTTATGTGTGCTTTTTAATTACACCTAAAATGACAAAAATGATGCACAGAAATGTGTGAGTTCATAAAAGTCTCACCATATATTTGCTGTAGCTTTACAGTGTAGGTTTTTCTATCAACAAACAATATTTCAACAGAAAAATCTTCATTTATAAATTATTATTTATCATTTTCATTTCTGTATCTATATCATAAAGTGCTTTTTGGTGAAAAACATCCTCTGGATGGAAATGTAGCTGCTTGAACAGATGAGCTCCAGTTTCAAACACAGCTGGAGGGGTTTCTGATAAATTGGCCGGTTAGTGTATAGTAGCTGTAAGGTCCGTGTGATGAATTATTCATGCACGTTCAGAAGCTGGTGACCCAGAACAGGCCACCAGCTGCCCCTCTGTCCTTCAGGGAAGCCCCTTTGTGTCTGTAAGGTGAGCAGGACTATGATAATTACAGGTTTGTTTCTCCTCCTTAATGATTTTGTGGAGCAGCACTATATATTTATTTACACTGTCGGCGCTAATCAGGGTTATTTTACACGCATCATCATTCAGACTTTCAGATTACAGAGTAGGGTCACCTCAGAAAGAGTGAGACGTCGATTCAGTTACGATTCTTCAGGAAACGATTCAGTGCATCACAGAATCAGTCAGTTAGGCTTTATTTGCACTCAGAACTACATTGATGGTGACCCTCGTTAACAGTGTAACTGAGCAAGTTAAACAGGGAGTGAAAAAAATATTAAAATGAAAACTAACTGAAACAAATCAAAATCAGCAACACGAGAACAAGAAGATTTATAAGAAATAAAAACAAAAGCTCAAACAAGAAATAGGCATACTAGAGCAATAATATGTGTAATAAAACAATATAAAGTACACACTTTAAAAAGATGGTTCTTCAAGGGTTCTTTAGTAAAGAAAATGGGTCTATATGGAACCGTGAACACTCAAAGAACCCTTTGCATGATGAAATGGTTTTTCAGATTGATGAAGAATGTGTTGTATTTGGTTCTATTTAGAGCCTTTGTGAAAAGGGTTCTATACAGCACCAAAAAAGGTTCTTCTATTGTTGCAAGCTTGACATCATAACAGTAGCAGGACCCTTTTTGGTGCTATATAGAACCATCTACAACACATTCTCCAATCTGAAAAAAACATTTCACCATGCAGAGAACAATTTAAGCATGCAAAGGGTTCTCTTCAGGTGTTCATGGTTCTTTAAAGAAACACTTCCTTTACTAAACAACCGTCTTTTTTAAGAGTGACAAGTTAAAGAAGCAATTAAGATAGTAAGCAATAGGGAAAAACTAAAAATATTAGAAGTAAGGTTTTATTATTCAATAAAATAGCAAAATAGAAAAAATAAGAATAACATCAAATAAAACAGCTGCAGGCTGAGTGGAGGAGGTTAGAGATTAACATTTTAAAATAGTGAAGTGACACCAGCGAGCGGAGCTTTAGAGTTTCTGTATTCCAGTTCAGTATATAAGTAAACTTGTCTTCCTTAAAAATGCACTTCGGGTACGTTCACATTACCAGGTTGAAGCAGCGCAAATCCGATTTTTTGCCCTAATGTGACTCAGATCTGATGTTTTCAGAGCTGTGTGGACACACAAATCTGATCTTTTCAAATCCGACCTGAGCCACTTTCGTATGTGGTCCTAGATTGGATATGTATCCAATTCGTGGCCATGAGACCTTAATGTGAACGTTCAGATCTGAATTCATGTGCTTTTTTTCCACTGAGTGTGTGCCGTCATTCAGCATTACCATGGCAGCAGCACAGAACAGAAGTCAAAGCCTGTAAACGGTGGAAAAGCAGCACATCTCACCTTATTCGCCTTTGTCTCGCTCTAATAATACAGCTGAGAGCTGATCAGAGTTAATTATCTTCACAGCAAAGATTCATTCAGCTCGTTAGTTTGTTTGCTCATGATGAACGGGACGCACATGATTCATTCACGTGACGTTACTGAGTAGGATGTATGCATGGAGTCATTTCAGGATGCTGGTTCGTTTACATTAATAACAGATTTGAATCACTTACCTAAATGAGTGTGAACCATCGTATCAGAGATATTGAATTTGAGCAAAAAATCGGATTTGAGCAATGAGACTTGAAATGTGAACATAGCCTTCATTTCTCCTTTTCACTCTCTCTTTATATCTTTATTTGTCTGTTTGTTTATTATTTTTCCCTCAGGGACCTGTTCATGTTCTTGTGTGTGGATTGATTTGGTGAACAGTGATTTTATTGCAACCTTGTGAAAATCTAACAAAAATCAAATTAAAATAAATAAATACTTTATGAACTGTTTACACAGTTCACTGTAAAAAAATCCTTTGTCAGTTCAACCTAAAAATAATATTTAACATGGTAACAAGCATTATTGCGGTTATATTCACCTCAAATAAATAGTTAAGGAGCCCATATCAACTTTTTAAATGTGAAAGTCAAATTATCCTTACTTATTTGGAATAAGTTGGTTTGTTTGTCAAAGTTTCAGAACGTATTAATCACTCTGCAGTCAATATAGTCCATATATTGCTGCTGTCGGAAGAAAACCTCATATCTCTATTTTTGAAAATGCCTGTTGTCCTTCATATTGTGTGTAAATTTCATGAAGAGTGGACCAAAAGAAATGGCCCAAAACAACTTGGAAAAAAGTCTGGTTCCATTGGCTTATGTTAAGAGTAAAGTAGGTTTTTCCTTCTCATATAAAGTTACCATTTTGGAGATACAAGGTTTTCTTCCAACAACAGCGATATGCAAAAACAGCCTGATTTGAAATGATTGTTTTTGTCATGTCACAGAAAACCAACACATTTACATAAATCCAGCTTCCATCACTGTGTTTGAGGTGAATAAAACCAGTTAAATCACTTTTTACCTCAGTCGAACTGCTTTATCTGATTAATGTTTTATTTTCTCTTGTAGATCTTCTCTGTGTTTCCAGTTCAGTCCTGTAGCACCATGGCAGCAGTGAGTTACATTTAAAAATCTATAATGAACAAAATGCATGTTGTGTTATTTTCACATTGTCCAGTCTAATAAGCCAACTCTGACTTGTAATTAACTGTATATAATATCAATAACAGTGAGGCTGGATGCACGAGTAGGATTTGTAGGCAAGGTTTGTTAAAACATTAAGATGTAACAATTAGAAAAGATGATTATCCTTACATTGAGTGCATTTACATGCACTTAATAATCTGGTAACTGCAGAAAATCAGATTGTGTCAATAACTATTTCCATGTGTTTACACTTAATCTAATAACTGCAGAAAATCAGATTGTGTCAGTAACTGGTTCAGTGTGTTTTCATGCTCTTGAGTAATCAGATACTGGGGAAACTCCGGGTCTACATGAGTCAGGCAGTAATTGGATTTCTGCTTTACAACCGGCCAATAAACTCACAGAATAAGACGCGACGTAAGCGTACCGTAAAACCCAAACTTCATGAGCGCCTTTTTTTAAAACATCAAGTCACTTTAGCAGAAAATATGAACATACATCATCTAGAAGAAAGAAATCAGAGTAAGAGGTTCACATGCACTGAAAAAAACCATTACTGAGCTCAAATCCAGCCTCTTTATCAGATTTCTTAATCAGATGTATAGACCTTAATCTGATCTCTGTGCTGTTTACACAACCACTTAATAATTATCATGTTATTAACCCCCTAAAAAGTGCACTGAAGTCCCTGTAGTTACTGAATAATAAACTTTATGTAATAGGCCTAAGATTTTGAGGGATTAAATGCATGTAAACGCACTCACTGTCTACTGTGCAAAGTCTTCGCGATCCAAACGGTACCTGATGTCATCTGCTATTGTTTTCAACGTTAACTGTTCTTTTTATTTGTCATTATGCCATTTCATTTATTTGTAGTCATGCTGGTAACATGATTTAGCAAGTAAGCTAAGCGGTTGTCATTACCTAACATCTGTTATTGTTGTTTTCAAACAGACGTTAGTTGCTAAGACCAGCTTAGTCACAGTTGAGCAGTTTTGGTTGGTGCACTGGATGTTAAATTTAGCATTTAAGATCTGTTGGCACAGTCAGCCTGTATGTTGTGAAACGTGATGTTATCTAAAGCTTAATTCCTCTTAAATGTTCTGCAGAAATATTACAGACATACAGCTCCATTTACAGAAGGTTTGCAGCATATAGAACAGTCCCATATCCTAAAGCTCATATCATGGAGTTTGGTGTAGACTGTAAACAAGTTTCCAAACATACCATTTAATCTCCACTCTACACTACACTGTAGTATGAGTTAGTACTACACTATACTATACAAGCCCCTACTACAGTCCATATATGGGAACAACATATATGGAAACATTTAAATATCAGTCTTTAGGTACAGTAACAAAAACAGTCTAGATAAAGAGATGTTTGAAAATGGTTGTGTAAAACTGAATTATGACTGTTTGTGGTTCATAAAAACACACAAATATTAAAATGAAGCGCGTTTCTGTGCTGCAGTTGGGCACTCGTGGTACAGTGAAGGAGGCCCCAGGATTTAATCCTGAACAGGACATAGAAAACCTAAGAAAAGCCATGAAAGGAGCAGGTGAGGAGCCCCGATTTTACGATTTCTTCTTACTAAAGCAAATTACTGACACTTGTTTTACTTTATCATATTACTGACTCTCGATTTACTGTCCACATTACTGACCTTCCTTTTGCTGTACCAAATTACTGACCTTTGTTTTACTAATACAAATTTCAGACCCTCCTTTTGCTGTCCACATTACTGACCTTCCTTTAACTGTACTGTTTTAGTGACCCTCCGTTTACTAATACAAATTAATGACCTCCCTTTTACTGATACAAATTACTGACCCTACTTTTACTGTACCTAATTACTGACCCTCCTTTCACTCTACCAAATTACTGACCCCCCTTTTTACTGTACCAAATCGCTGACCCTCCTTTTACTGCACCAAATCACTGACCCTTCTATTACTGTACCAAATCACTGACTCTCCTTTTACTGTACCAAATTACTGACCTTAATTGCACTCTGCCAAATTGATGACCGTTGTTTTACTCTACCAAATCACTGACCCTCCTTTTACTGTACCAAACTACTGACCCTCTGTGATCACCCTCTAGCTATCCATGCATTTCAGTGCAGAACTTACAGTTCAGAAAGGCTAAATTCAAAAAAGTGTTTTGGAAAATCTGCATCAGCTAAAAGACAGACTGCAAAAGACTTTAGTGCTTTAGAGCTCTGAGGAGAGGAGGAGAGGAGTAAAGGAGAAGAAAAGTAAAGGAGAGGAGTGTCTCAGTGCTGGAAACACTGATGAAGTTAAATTGAGTGTAATTGGTATCAGCTGAGTGCAGTGTGAGGTGAATTACATAAAACAGGGTCAGCTGGTGATAAACAGGAAAATGTTGCTAATGCTGTCGCTGTATGTGAGAAGTTCTCAGTGGAGAAAAGCCTCTCCTCCCCCACTTTTGTTAAGCTGGACTCTAAACAATGCAGCCGGTGGGATGTATTGTTTATTCTCTTCTGAAATAGCAAATAGAGCCTTAAAGCGATAGTTTGGTGGGAAAAAAACAAACTTGCACATTTTGCCCCTTTACTCCAAATGTAGTCCATCATTTGTGACGTGTTTGGTGTCTGAAGTATGCTTTAGTTTTAGCACTAGAGCTATAAGGCTAATGTAGCTATCAAGTAATGGAAGCTAATACCTCACCAATTGGCATTCTCTATTAGGTTTGATTGATTTTGCAGCTGTACAGTGTATGACACAAACTGTATGTAGCAGCCATATTGAATATAGTTCAAAAGATGCATGCTTACAATAATTACATTAGCCTTGTAGCTCCAGTGCTAAAACTAAAGAAGCAAACTTCAGACACCAAACATGTCTTGACTGATCGACTACATTTATGTAAATGATGTTTTTCCCCAAACTCTTTCTTTAACGAGGTGCTTTTTCTTTCAGGCACTGATGAAGCAACGATCATCACCATCCTTCCTCACCGCACTATTGCACAGAGACAGCAGATAAAGGAGGCTTACAAACGGGCCGTAGGGAAGGTAAACATCACCCTATACACTACACTGTTCATTACTGCCAGGATTTCACAATGTTTAACACAACTTTTCCACAGTAAAGCACTGTATTTATCAGTTTATTGTGAAACACTCAGGAACTCACTAAGGACTGACCATCACACAGGAAACCCTTCATTCTTCATTCAGTCCACATCGGAGACACATGTGAAATGGCATGCAAAGAGCGGGAGGAGTTTTGGTTGTCCGGGAGGGGTTTTGGTTCTACTAGGAGGAATTTCAGTTGTGCTGGGAGGGATTTTGGTTCTGCTGGGAGGGGTTTTGGGTGTCAAATGTGTCTTGGAGAGACGGATGTGTTTACGCTGCTATAACGTGGCTCAAATGCGTCTCAGTTCACCTCCTGAAGTGGTTTGAGTGATCAGATTTGTATCTGTTTTAAATGCATCTAGGCTGCGTTTACACTTTCATTTTTATGTGGCCTCATCCAGATATAATCCTGATACTCAAGACACAAGTGACCATGTGTAAACCGGCTCAAAGGCTATGTTCAGACTGCCAGCCAAATCTGATTTCAGTCATATCCAGATTGTATCCAGATTGATGTTTTAATAGGCTGGACAGCAAAAAAAACCCTGCAAATCAGATCCAAATCACATTTGCAGGTGGTTTGAAATGCAACTCCAATCTGATTTTTACAGATGCATCTCAGTCTGGACGCTCTGGACGCTCAAATCGGATTATACACGACAAACAACAAAAATGATAAATCCCGTGTGATGAAGTGCTGGGATTCAAGAAGAGCTCCAAAAACACTTGCAAATAATAGTGCGGACAGTAGGCTCAGAAGGTCTGATCTGAGAAACCAATCTAATTAACCTGCAGTCTGAACACAGACTAATTGTATGGCAGAATAACAACTACATCACAGCAATCATGTCACAGTGTATAATGTTGCTATTTAACTATTATTTACTGTTAATATGGTTCAGTAAATGACTTTAAGAGTAATGCAAGTAATTTATGATTTTTTTACAGTGTGAAGGCTGAAAGCGCTTCAGTACATGGAGATCAGTGATGCTATAAAGAAAGAAAACAGAACGGTTGTTAACGTTTGTGTCATCAGAGATTAGAACGTCTGCAGACGCTAATCAATCACATTTTGCGAGGTTTATGATGGAGGTGATGGAGGAATATTCCTTCTGCATTTACATAGCGATTTGGTTTGCAAGGTAACGAGATATCAGGGTAGACTAATGTGTGCTTTTTTCGAATTTATGGTCGTGTGTATGGCTTTGCAAAGGGAGCGGCTCCAGATGTTTATCATTGACTGATAGAGAGCAGCTAACACGTTAAACGGCAGTATTGATCTGTTTTAGAGACGGCTTCTATGGCTCCAGTGTGTTAAACAGTAACTCCAGCTCTGACAGAGTGCAGGGTGTGAAAGCTGAGGATCAGATTGAAGCTGAATGTTTGAGCGGAGAGTCTTTGCTCTGCTCTGCTGATGTTTGCAGAAGTTTCTGGAAAGAACAGCATTCCCTGTGTGTGTCTGTTTGGTCAGAAACAGTGAGTCACACGGGTGGGAACGGCATGGAGTGCAGGGCTCTCTCGCCCTCTGTCTCTCTCTATCTCTCTCTCTCTCTCTCTCTCTCTCTCTCTTACTCTGTCCATAAAAAGTTTGAGGACTGTTCGAAGAGCAGGTTTTAACAATGATTTTCTTTTCAAAACTGGTGTTAAAAGGTCTTCCCGAAGCGCTTTTGCAAAGTTAAGAGGTTTGAGTGCTGACATCACAACAAGGGGATAAAATGGGCATGGTGTTTGACTCCCAACGTGAATTACTGGGCACTGGTTCCATTATTTTCTATTTATTATTTTTATTTTGTGCAACTTGGTGAAGCCAAAGACACATTTCCAGAAATGGACAATAAAGTTTATTCTATTCTACTTTTACAGCAATTTACTGAACCATATTAAACAGTGAAATAGAAACGTTATGCTGTACCAAGATTAGCGATGTAGCTGTTATTCTGCTGTTCACTTACAGTAATAAACTGTCATTAAAATACAGAAATATCCTGTATATTTGCATAACAGCTGTTAAAGTAATCTAAGTAGACAGTAATTTTACCCTAAATTTATATATGAAAAAAATGAATTTAAAATTTTTTTCCAGACCTATAAATATTTTTATTTTTTAAATGTACATGAAGTAAAAGAAGAACCAAAATAAAAAACCATACTTTGCACCATATATGCACAGAATATGTATTTTTTAAATGCAAATACATATTTTACAGTTTAACTTTACTTATAATTTGGAGCAGCATGAGCAGAAAATTGCGCATTTGGCAAAACCAGTTTGTAAAAATTGTCAATATCAGTGTTTCAGCATTTAAACATTCAAAAAAATCCACTGTAACACTTTGATACGAATAATGACAATAAGTAATGACAATGTTTTTGTTAAAATGTCTTTATACCTTTTTAACTCTCGCTTTCATATGCCACTCTCATTCATGTTGTTCACTGTGTGAGTTTATACTGCAGTTAATTGTAACTGATAAAAAGCTAATAATAACTAATAATAAATAAATAAATCTCTGATCTGGCTGGTTTCTCTGCAGGAACTGGCTGATGATCTGATGTCAGAGCTGTCCGGTAATTTTGAGAAAGTGGTGATCGGGCTGCTGATGCAGGCACCAATTTATGATGCATACGAGCTGAGAAACGCCATTAAGGTCACTGTTAACGTCTGTCTGTCTGTCTGTCTGTCTATCTGTCAGTCCGTTTCTATATCCATTAAAATAACTATATGTCTGTCTGTTTATCCATCTATCTATCTATTTATCTATAAATCTATTTCAGTTAAGAATGACAAATTTTGTGTTCAAATAATAGATTATCTTATTTAACACAGATAAAGCGCTCAGGTTCTTATGTGTTCTAATTACGCTCTCTATGTCACAGATATGATGTGTTATTTTGGCCAAAGTGCAGCATAAACAAGCTTTTAAAATTAGACAAACTTAATAAGTTCAGTAGTTCAGTTCTATTTATTATCAGTTCATGTGATTTTATATGAGGGTTATAGTACAGCTCTGATGTGTTTAGTGAGAACACAGACAGTCTGTTATTAATTAACACATTATTTGAGTATGTTTGCAGACCTGCCATGTTCATTTAATCACAAACCCGTGATTTACAGTTTAGTGATATAGCTTTTCCTCTAAAAGCACACCTAGATGTGGTTAGGTGTTAGACAGATCGGGACTGACAGCCATAACTGAGATGTGTTTGTATGTGCGTATGTTAATATTCAGGGTGCTGGAACAGATGAAGCGTGTCTCATTGATATTCTGGCCTCCAGGAGCAACTCGGAAATTAAAGCTCTCACTGCAGCCTACAGTAAAGGTAAACACTCACACAAGGGGTGCACAAACTTTTTTGTCAAGTAGTAGGCGTGAGTCAGAATTTTCGAGAATATTCTAATAAAAAATCAAATGGTAAATTAGATTTTTAATATGTAATATAGCTTCTTTCTAATGTTATACATTCTCATATTTAAGAGCCATGAGCTGTCTGAACTCTGTCCTCTACCAGAGGGTAGTGTAGAGCTGCGTCTTACGTTCTGGTCAGAGGTTCTAATCTGTTTAGTCCAGGAACAGAAAGGCAACCGCACACCTTATAAAGACTGATACAGCTGCCTAAAGGCTACTGCACACAATTTTAGGCTACTGCAGCCGTCAAAGGGCTGCGGCTCGGCCTCTAAAGGCTACTGCAGCCGTCTAAAGGCTACCACACGCCATGTAAAGACCACTGCAGATGTGTGTTTGTATGTGCTTATGTTAATATTCAGTCATCTAAAGACTACCTCACACCATCTAAAGACCACTGTAGCTGTCTAAAGAGCACCTTACACCGTCAAAAAAAACACTGCAGATGTGTGTTTGTATGTGTTTGTGTTAATATTTCACCGTCTAAGACTACCGCACACCGGACGAGAAGCTCCACACCATGCAGCAGATAGAACAGAGATCAGCAATAGCACAGAGAAAAGCTCTGATAAGCATCCAACTCAGCTAAAAGGTCCAAGGAGGTTACGATGCAACTAGGCTAGTAATGTTAGCAGTGGTGGTGTCACTGTTTCTACTAAGGGCTAACAATTCATTTAGCCTTACATTTTAGCACATTGCCTTGCCATTACTTTTATTACAGGCTCAGAATGACTGTGTGGATTGTATGAAACATTATAGAGCACTTTTTAAATGAAACAATAGAAGCCATATCGCCCCCTACACTTCCTGTAGTGTATTACAGTCTGTCAGAATGACTGTGTGGATCATACTGAGACGCTTTCATATGTGGTACTGAAATCCGATACGTATCCGCAATGCGGCTCAGTCTGAACAGCCAGATTGGAATTCATGTGGCTTTTACGCCAGTCCAACTCATTCGTCATAATTTCGCTCTGCTGATACCTCAAGAACATTTGGGATAATATTTCTGTACATAAATTAGAAGAGACGTATCCAAAACACCTCCGTGTTTGAAAAGATTTCGAAAGAAATGGCCGAATGCGGCAGTAGGAGAACGAGGCTGCTGCATCAAAGAACAGTTTGAAAGCAAAGTTTAAAGAATCCGAGGACACGAACCAAAGAAGTGCCTGTGGCCGAATATTATATACTAAAATATGTTTCAACAATTCAGATTCCCCAGGTTGATGAATGCATGCTCCTGCTGCAGTATTTGTTCACTGTCTGCTGGTCTGTTCAGGTTATGGTTCCTTTTTTGCATAGTGGCGTTACCATTTGAGTATGCAAACTGTAATGGTTTTATTTTCTTATAACAATGGCAGAGTATGGGAAGAACCTGGAGGACGATATATGTGGAGACACGTCTGGGATGTTTAAGAGGGTTCTGGTGTCTCTGCTTACGGTAATACTCCATCACTCCATCACACACACCATCACACCTTCTGCTCACCACTTTCTGTAATGTTGCTGCTCTTTATAGAGCAACAAAATTAAATTCATTTTGGCGTTAATTTTTCCCCTACACATCCTGTTACCTTCAGTGAGCTGTGTGAACCCGTTTGAAGAACATACTTAAGTAATAAACAATTAATTTTTATTTATATAGCACTTTTGGTTATAAAATTTCATAATACTTTAGACCGGAATAGAAAAAGATAAAAAAAGACACAAACAGGAGGAAATGAGCCACGCTACCTCTTGGTGTATACAAATCTAAACAAATAATCTGGATTTTAAAAACAGTATTATTTATATAGAGTATTAGGAGCTCTGTAAGAAAATGGTCTTCCACTAAATGAGCTGTAAGAGATCCTATAGGATGTCATATTTAAGTTTTTAGTGTTAAGTTAGCACAAGCCTACCTGTTGCTATGGTAACCAGGAGGATTGTATCCTGGCAAATTAATGTTTTGCAAAACATACTAGCATGAAAAAATATTTTTTCTCTTTTTAAAGGAGTTTTAAAACAAATTCTCTAGTCAATACAGCCCATATATGGACTCTGAACAGCCTAATTTGAATTCACTGCTTTTGTGATGTCACAAAAATGAAGATTTTACATATATCTGCCTACTCAGCCTACAGCAGTTTAGCCCCACCCATTCATGCTGAAGTTATAAGGAGTGTTTTTAGCCTGGATTGCCTTTTGAATGAGGCACAGCCAATCAGAACAGAGCTTATTTACATATATCAGTCTTAAAGACACAGTGACAAAAACACCCTGTTTAATTCTGAGGGATACAGAGAGTTTGGAAAGTGGTCATGTAGGGTAAATGTGACATATGTTTTTTACCACATAAACCCACATAGATGTCATAAGTCAATGTCAGGGAAGAAAATAACATGCAAGAAATATGTGTAACATGCCTCACAGCAAGAATGGCCTGGGTTCGATTCCCGGCTGGGCGACCAGGGTCATTTTTGTGTGGAGTTTGCCTGTTCTCCCCGTGTCGGCGTGGGTTTCCTCCGGGTACTCTGGTTTCCTCCCACAGTCCAAAAACATGCAGACATGCTGAATTGCCCCTGGGAGTGAGTGTGTGTGTGACTGTGTATGTCCGTCTGCGATGGACTGGCGACCTGTCCAGGGTGTATCCTGCCTTCCGCAGGATACACTGGGATAGGCTCCAGCACCCCACCGCGACCCAGGAGGATAAGTGGTTTAGATGATGTATGTATGTATGTGTAAAATGGACAGAAGATGATGTATGTATGTATGTGTAAAATGGACAGAACAATACATTGTATACATGTGTTTGAATGTGGTTGTGATGGTCAGCCACAAATTGTTCATCAGGGAGAATAAAGAGGGTTAAACACATGGTTTCACCGTCGCCGAGCTGTAGGTTGCTCTGAGTCTGCAGAGCGCTCCTGTCTATTTGCATTGTAAATCCAGCCACAGCAGCACACCTGCACAGGTGTATTCTCTCCCCATTGCACCTGTAGAACAATTTACATGCCACAGGAACTCACCGACACGCTCTGACTGCAGACAGGTTCTCTGACGTTTGGCTGTAGAGATGTTTAGGAGACTGTAGATGGCACCACAAGACATTGTAATTTTAAGCTGCAACAAAAAAAAGATTTTCAAATCTTCTACTGTCCATATTAAAGCCAAATCATGTTAATTCAGAACAAAACAATATCACACATGTAAATATGTGTGCCAATATAAGTCAGTGAGTATTTTTGTTTATTAAGCACATCTAAAACAAAAGTGCTATGCATAATAAGAATATATAAAAATATCAAAATGCACAGTAAATACCAGCTCTTTCCAAGTAAATCAGAGAGAAAAACAGCCTAAATGTATATTCATTAAAATTTTAAATGCTAGTGTAAAATATAATATTTTAAATCTTACAGGGATGTTATTACTTTATTTGAGAATAAGAGTAGAAAAAGTCAAAAAGAAGACTGGATGTCCCCAAACTTTATAGGCAGTGAGTTTTGCATGTCAGTGAATCAGGCCCAACTGTGTTGATGTATGTTTGTTTGTTTGTTTGTTTACAGGCAGGTAGAGATGAGAGCACTACTGTAGACGAGGCTTTAGCCAAACAGGATGCCAAGGTGAGCGCAGACAGTCCACTTACTACTCCCAATTAACTGGCTTCTCATTCAAATTTTCCGTTCCACTACAGTACCAGTGTTACAGCTACACTATGTAAGGTGGAACAGAAACTTTTGGTCTAAAATAAAAGGCTAAAGCTCCAAGATGAATAAACACAACAGGACTAAAAGTTAATGATTAAAATGGAAGTTAGTAAAAAGTAGATACTTTACTCACTGATGTACCTGAGTAGTGGAGTTGACTGTAACGTGTGTTTTACAGGAGATTTACGAGGCGGGTGAAGCTCGCTGGGGAACAGATGAGGTCAAATTCCTCACCGTCCTCTGTGTGAGGAACAGAAACCATTTACTGAAAGGTACTCATTACAGAACTGATAGATAGATAGATAGATAGATAGATAGATAGATAGTGTTCAGTAGTGTACAGTATACTGCCCCCATGTGGTGTGAAAGTGTTCAGTAGTGTACAGTATACTGCCCCCATGTGGTGTGAAAGTGCTCAGTAGTGTACAGTATACTGCCCCCGTGTGGTGTGAAAGTGCTCAGTAGTGTACAGTATACTGCCCCTGTGTGGTGTGAAAGTCTTCAGTAGTGTACAGTATACTGCCCCCGTGTGGTGTGAAAGTGCTCAGTAGTGTACAGTATACTGCCCCCGTGTGGTGTGAAAGTGTTCAGTAGTGCACAGTATACTGCCCCCGTGTGGTGTGAAAGTGTTCAGTAGTGTACAGTATACTGCCGCATGTGGTGTGAAGGTGTAAGCACGGTCTTACTTTAATTAACTGATTTGTATTCTCTTTGCTCCGCCTGCGGCAGTGTTTGAGGAGTATCAGCGGATCTCCGGCCGTGACATTGAGGACAGCATTAAGAGGGAGATGTCCGGCTGTGTGGAGGACGTGTTCCTGGCTATAGGTGGGTGGGGACTTTGGGGGGGTTTATGGGTGATTGATCCGGTGGGTGGAGTTCAGGATCGAAGGTTCATTAAGAAAATGGAGTAACTTTGTTTACTGAGCACAACACACAGACACATCAGTCTAACACAGCGGCTCAGAGCTCTTAATTATCTTTGAGATTTCTTCATTAAAAGTGATGTTTCATACACTCTTAATAAAGGTGGTTCTTCAAAGATTCTTTAGTGAAAACAATGGTTCTATATAGAACCATGATCACTCCAAGTACCATCTGGCTCTATATAGAACCATTTTCTTTACTAAAGAACCCTTGAAGAACCATCTTTTTTTCTAGCTTTTATACACATATCTATTGATTTACTCTGATTAAATTATACTGTATACACATATCTATTGATTTGCTGTGATTAGGTTACAAGATCATTTCCAAAAAAGTTGGGACACTGTGCAAAATGTAAATAAAAACAAAATGCAATAATGTGCAAATCATTTAAACCCTATATCTCATTGAAAATAGTACAAACACAACATATCAAATTTTAAAACTGAGAAATGTTATTGTTTTTTGAAAATATGTGCCCATTTTGAATTTGATGCCAACAACGTGTTCCAAAAAAATTGGGACAGGGGCAACAAAAGGCTGGTAAAGCTGTGTAATGCTAAAAAAAACACCTGGTGGTTAATTGGCAACAGGTCAGTAACATGATTGGGTATAAAGAGAGCATCTCAGAGAGGCAGAGTCTTTCAGAAGTAAAGATGAGGAGGGGTTCATCACTCTGTGAAAGACTGCAAAGGTAAAAATTGCAACAATTCAAGAATAACGTTTCTCAGCATAAAATAGCAATGAAATTTTGCTTTTCATCATCTACGGTAGGGCCTGGGTTCGATTCCCGGCTGGGTGACCAGGGTCGTTTCTGTGTGGAGTTTGCCTGTTCTCCCCGTGTCTGCGTGGGTTTCCTCCGGGTACTCCGGTTTCCCCCCACAGTCCAAAAACATGCAGTCAGGCTGATTGGACACACTAAATTGCCCCTAGGTGTGAGTGTGTGTGTGAATGTGTATGTCTGTCTGTCTGCGATGGACTGGCGACCTGTCCAGGGTGTATCCTGCCTTCCGCCCAATGACAGCTGGGATAGGCTCCAGCACCCCACCGCGACCCAGAAGGATAAGCGGTTTAGATGATGGATGATGGATGTATGCAAGTTACAAGGCTGAAAAACAGTATTTGCTGGCCGTGATCTTTGGGTCCTCAAACGGCGCTGCATTAAAAACAGACATGATTCTGTAGTGGAAATCACTGCATGGTTTCAGAAATACTGCTGAAAAGCACTGTCTGTGAAAACAGTTTATCACTGCATCCACAAATGCAAGTTAAAACTCTAAACACAGCGGTAAAGATGGGCCTGTCCCAACTTTTTTGGAACGTATTGTTGGCATCAAATTCAAAATGGGCACATATTTGTCAAAAAACAATAAAATCTCTCAGTTTCAACATTAGATCTGTTGTCTTTGTACTGTTTTCATTTAAAAATATGGTTTGCCTGATTTGCATATCATTGCATTCTATTTTTATTTACATTCTGCACAGCGTCCCAACTTTTTTGGAAATGGGGTTCTATATTGTATACACATATCTATTGATTTGCTGAGATTAGGTTATACTATATACACATATCTATTGATTTACTGTAATAAGTGTATACTCAAGGGTTGATCATTTTAGAATTAAGTGTGTTTACGGATAGCCTGGGAACTCATGGATCCAGAGTCTTTCTCTCACTCTCTCTCTCTCTTCCTCTCTCTCTCCTCTCTCTCTCTCTCTCTCTCTCTCTCTCTCTCTCTCTCTTCCTCTCCCCCTCTCTCTCTCTCTCTCTCTCTCTCTCTCTCTCTCTCTCTCTCTCTCTCTCTCTCTGTGACTAAATGGCAGTTACAGTCATAAATTACAGGTCACACTGTGCCTAAAGAGTAATTAGCTGTACAAAAAAACAGCAATCTTTGACTATCTAGTTTCTTTTTTTTATTTTTAACAAATTTAATTATTTAATCAACCAGTTTTCAGCATTTTCCTTCAACCTCATAAAACCTGTTTAGTCTGATGAATACTTAAATAAATCTGGCAAAGACATCTCTGACTGTGACTTCATTTCTGCATCAATTCAACCCATTTCTTACAAAATTGAGCTAAATCTGGACACTAAACATGTATCAGTTGATTTCATGTCTCACCTCTGTTGTTCTGCAGTGAGATGCATCAAAAGCAAGCCGGGCTTCTTTGCGGAGAGACTTTACAAATCTATGAAGGTAATCTCATCACTGCAGCCTGTTTATCTACTGGAAGTCGACTCTGAAAAGAATCACAATATATATAGAATAAATGGAATAGAGAACATAGGAATCACCGATTTAAATGAACTAGATGGTTGTTTGTGTTGTACTGACTGTGCTGTGCTGCAGGGTTTGGGGACTACAGACAGCATCCTGATCAGAGTGATGGTCTCTCGCTCTGAGATCGACATGGAGGACATCAAAAATGAGTTCCTGAAGATGTATGGGAAAACTCTGTACTCCTTTATAAAGGTGAGAGGACAGATCAGTCATTTTATGTTGAAATTGTGGTTTGAAAGAGTGCAGTTTTCAAATTCGCTGCAGTTTTAATTCTATTAAGACATTGTCTTCTGTTTTAAGTGGGAAAATTAAACCTAACAGCGTGAAGCCTGTGAACCACCTGCAGATAAATTAGGCCAATCAAAAGCAAGCAAGTGCTGTGACATCCATAACTAACCGGCAGTCTGAAGCTCTATAGTCAGAGTTCATGCCTCAAGACAGACAGAAGAAGTGGATTTGGGGTCTTGGGGCCAAAATAATAGACCTGGGCCTCAGTTTATAGAAAAATAATCAAAATTTACACAATATCGATGAATTATCACAATATTGCTCAGAAAAATCCCCAGAATTGTTCAGCCTTAGTGTTTAGTAAAAAAGGGTACATGATTAAAAATACAGCAGCAAAAAAGGTCACTTTTTATTTGGAGACTTCCCTATAGATCATCTACAGAAGCTTTGCTTTTGGACAGTCTATCTGGCGAAACTAAAGGCTTTTACACACTGAGTTTGATTTGTTTTTTAATATTTCAGAATATTTCGCATTTTCGTTTTGTTAATTTGCATCACGTTTGGTGGCTTTTACTGCACCGACAGGGATGCACACGTGATGTGACTCATCTGCCAACATTAGATTTAAACATGCGCCTGGGCTTGTTGGGTTTGTGAGGTTAACAGAAACCAGCTAGTTCATTAGCAGCCTTGAGGAAAAATGCACTTTGATAAAATCTGAAGTTTCCAGGCTCCAGCAAATGAGGCCCTCTGTGATTTATTTGAGGAAAAATGTGAATGTATCATCCAGAGTTTCTCCTGCTGTAAAACATTTTTCTTTTGGCGTTCTAGGGCGACACGTCGGGTGATTACCGTAAGATCCTGCTGGAGTTGTGTGGACCAGAGAAGTAACCGCTGTGTGGAGGAGACACCTTTTATTATCATGTAGCTAACACTCTACCCTGTTTATTAGTGTGTAGCTAACGTCTTCTCTCGCTGGCCTTTTGTCCGTTTGGACACATTTCAATACGCGTCTCTATTTTTCACAGTTTGTAATGCCAATTAAAGAAAACTGGAGCTTTAAACTTGAACAGTGTGATTATTTTTATCTCCTTGGGGTCGAACTGGAGTCATTTTCATGTCCTGAGGTTAAAGAATTACATTACTGCCTGATCTGTAAGGGTCAATAATAGACTCACTCTCAGACTGAAGTGCATTTGTCTAATTCCTGAGAACACAATCTGTTTAATCTGTGACATCTTGATTGACTCGGTTTAATTATACTAATTGCCTGCTGGCCAGCTATAAAACTTTCCATCGCTCCGTTCGATGAGCGTACGCTGCCAATTCAGCTTTATAGAACTGAACCTTAGGACCTTCGGAAGACACACAAATTGATGTGTACTTAAAACCCTGCTCGTTAAATGAACAGAGTGATTCAGAGTGGTTAGGTGTAAAATGGTTCAGATTTCTTTACAATTGGTGCTGATAGGAACCAGGGGTCACCATGACTACAACACAAATATAGACATTATATTTACAATCCAAAACCACCAGTGAACCTACATGCGTCTTCTGAGTTTTATATGGAATGTTGATGATGGGAAAATAGTGGAAAATCTGAAATAATACGTTTTATTTATGCCCTGCATATTATGTATCCCTCCACCATGAATGGATTTCCAATTCTATCATAAAACAATGTCTTAGTCATCAGGCAATGAATTCATAACCATTTCCTGTAATAACTTTCTGTGAGGGAGCTTTTAGAGATGGACGTCTGGTTCTTATCATCACCACTGTGAACAATTCTGACTCTAGAACAGAGTGTTTCACACCAAACCACTCTGAACGACTCTGTTTACATCTTAACCACTTAATTATGCAGGAGTTTTGAAAAAGCAGTGGAGTTTCCCTTTAAGACAGCTTCAGTATTTGCAGTGAGTGGACACTGGGTGGCATCTTCATCCTCTTGTAAATGACTGAAGGTTTCACTGTGGATGTCCCAGTACAGTCAACCCCTGAGCACTCAATAATAAATGAGCTCAGCTGTAAATATGCCAGTCAGAGCTTTTTTATTTTTTGGGACACACAGATGGGGAGGAATGAGACGCATTACATATTCCTCCATGTGTTTTAACTCGAAAACTGACTTTTTCTGCGGACTAACATACAGATGCTGTTCAGTGTCCAGCATTACAAGCAGCATTTTATCATTAACTACACACAACTACGTACCATATTCTTACACCGTACACTCTACAGTATATCATTACATTCTACAACATATTCATAAACTACACACTATACTCTCACACTACACACTATATTCTTACACTACACACTATACTCTCACACTACACTCTCACACTACACACTATACTCTCACACTACACAATATACTCTCACACTACACACTATACTCACACTACACACTACACTCTCACACTACACACTATACTCTCACACTACACAATATACTCTCACACTACACACTACACACTATACTCTCACACTACACACTATACTCTCACACCACACTATATTCTTATACTACACACTATATTGTCACACTATACACTACACACTATATTGTCACGCTATACACTAAACACTATATTGTTACACTACACACTATATTGTCACACTACACACTGTATTCTTACACTACACACTATACTCTTGCACTACACTGTATTCTTACACTACACATTATATTCTTACACTACACACTATATTGTTACACTATACACTACACACTATATTGTTACACTATACACTACACACTATATTGTTACACTATATTGTTACACTATACACTACACACTATAGTGTTACACTATACACTACACACTATATTGTTACACTATATTGTTACACTATACACTACACACTATAGTGTTACACTACACTACACACTATATTCTCACAGTATACACTACACACTATATTGTTACACTATACACTACACACTATATTCTTACACTACACACTACACACTATATTGTTACACTACACACTATATTGTTACACTACACTACACACTATTCTTACACTAGACACTATATTCTTATATACTGTATATAGGGGACGGGGATAAAAATAAAAATTAATTTGAGGGAATGTTTTGCAAGTTGTACGTATGTTTTCTTTTATTCGTGGCTACAATTTCTTAATTTGGTCTGACAACTAACAATGTGTTTTCTTGTTTTAATTGTGCCCATTATTTTCTTTTGTGTGTAAACAAAATAACTGATTGTATTTAACAGACATGAAGCCACAGCACAGCTGCTTATCACTGTTTTTGCTCATGCAGCAGGCTGCAGTGTCGGGGGACGCCGCACACTTACAGGAAGATATGTTCAGCGCCAACGTTTCAACATCCACCAAACATCCTTGTTACACTATAAATTATCTACTACAGTATTAAACTGTCTAAACTCTTACACTTCACACTATGTGCTGTATTTTAACACCATGCACTGTATTCTTACCCTGTCATCGGTTATCAGCAGCATATCACAAATAGCCTAATGTAAATAATGTTGCAGAGAAATAAAGTTATTGAATAGGTTAAACTGTTTACATGTAATTAAAGCGTTAAACTGCAGTGTTTTCTGACGGCTGCTGAACTGTGCCTACAGTTCTGCAGACAGCTTAACAGTCTAGTTAGCCATAACATCACATGCCCAGTTGCAATTTCATCACTTTGAAGTTCTTAGCTGTATATCGTAAATTGTAACTAACTGGCATCAGCACATAACTCCTCACAATAGCATTAGCACATAACTCCTCACACTAGCATTAGCACATAACTCCTCACACTAGCATTAGCACATAACTCCTCACACTAGCATCAGCACATAACTCCTCACACTAGCATTAGCACATAACTCCTCACACTAGCATTAGCACATAACTCCACTCACAATAGCATTAGCACATAACTCCTCACACTAGCATTAGCACATAACTCCTCACAATAGCATTAGCACATAACTCCTCACACTAGCATTAGCACATAACTCCACTCACAATAGCATTAGCACATAACTCCTCACACTAGCATTAGCACATAACTCCTCACAATAGCATTAGCACATAACTCCACTCACAATAGCATTAGCACATAACTCCACTCACAATAGCATTAGCACATAACTCCATTCACACTAGCATTAGCACATAACTCCACTCAAACTATCATTAGCACATAACTCCATTCACACTAGCATTAGCACATAACTCCATTTGAACTAGCATTAGCACATAACTCCATTCACACTAGCATTAGCACATAACTCCATTTGAACTAGCATTAGCACATAACTCCATTCACACTAGCATTAGCACATAACTCCACTCACACTAGCATTAGCACATAACTCCATTCACACTAGCATTAGCACATAACTCCACTCAAACTATCATTAGCACATAACTCCATTCACACTAGCATTAGCACATAACTCTATTTGAACTAGCATTAGCACATAACTCCACTCACACTAGCATTAGCAGATAACTCCACTCACAGTAGCATTAGCAGATAACTCGCACTAGCATTAGCACATAACTCCATTTGAACTAGCATTAGCACATAACTCCATTCACACTAGCATTAGCACATAACTCCATTTGAAATAGCATTAGCACATAACTCCACTCACACTAGCATTAGCACATAACTCAACTCACACTATCATTAGCACATAACTCGCACTAGCATTAGCACATAACTCCATTTGAACTAGCATTAGCACATAACTCCATTCACACTAGCATTAGCACATAACTCCATTTGATCTAGCATTAGCACATAACTCCACTCACACTAGCATTAGCACATAACTCCACTCACACTAGCATTAGCACATAACTCCATTCACACTAGCATTAGCACATAACTCCATTCACACTAGCATTAGAACATAACTCCACTCACACTAGCATTAGCACATAACTCCACTCACACTAGCATTAGCTCATAACTCCATTTGAACTAGCATTAGCACATAACTCCACTCACACTAGCATTAGCACATAACTCCATTCACACTAGCATTAGCACATAACTCCACTAACAATAGCATTAGCACATAACTCCACTCACACTAGCATTAGCACATAACTCCACTCACACTAGCATTAGCACATAACTCCATTTGAACTAGCATTAGCACATAACTCCATTCACACTAGCATTAGCACATAACTCCATTTGAACTAGCATTAGCACATAACTCCATTCACACTAGCATTAGCACATAACTCCATTTGAACTAGCATTAGCACATAACTCCTCACACTAGCATTAGTACATACCTCCACTCACACTAGCATTAGCACATAACTCCATTCACACTAGCATTAGCACATAACTCCATTCGAACTAGCATTAGCATATAACTCCACTCACACTAGCATTAGCACATGAACCAACTCATACTAGCATTAGCACATAACTCCACTCACACTAGCATTAGCACATGACTCAACTCATACTAGCATTAGCACATAACTCCACTCACACTAGCATTAGCACATAACTTCATTTACACTAGCATTAGCACATAACTCGCACTAGCATTAGCACATAACTCCATTTGAACTAGCATTAGCACATAACTCCACTCACACTAGCATTAGCACATAACTCCATTCACACTATCATTAGCACATAACTCCATTCATACTAGCATTAGCACATAACTCCATTTGAACTAGCATTAGCACATAACTCCATTCACACTAGCATTAGCACATAACTCCATTTGAACTAGCATTAGCACATAACTCCACTCACACTAGCATTAGCACATAACTCCACTCACAATAGCATTAGCACATAACTCCACTCACAATAGCATTAGCACATAACTCCACTCACAATAGCATTAGCACATAACTCCATTTGAACTAGCATTAGCACATAACTCCTCACACTAGCATTAGCACATGACTCAACTCATACTAGCATTATCACATGACTCCACTCACACTAGCATTAGCACATAACTCCACTCACACTAGCATTAGCACATAACTCACACTAGCACTAGCACATAACTCCACTCACACTAGCATTAGC